TGAATAACACTTTGATTATCAGAATGGAGATTAACAATACTTTGTTTTAATCTCATCTCCGTGATATCCTTGTACAATCAAATTGACAACTTTGTTGATGCTATATATTTGAATTCCATAGTTAACTAGAAGATGCATTTTTGCAAAGTAGATTTCTAACAAATACATATATTTCAAAATGTGAAGTTCTATAATTTTTGAGACTTTTGTTGCTGTAAATCTTGGCCACAATTAGTATCTACGTAACCTATCAAAGATTTGAAGTTGTTTAAACTACTATCAAAAAATAAGCCAACATATATTGTAGCTTTTAGGTATCTAAGAATAAATTTAATTGCCTCTTAAAGGGCCTTAATTTGCTTATAGCTAGACTAATATCTGATCTAGTATAAGTTATTAAGTAGATAAAGCTTTCTAGTGCACTATCATGAAGAATTTTAGACATAGTTCATTTATTCTCATCTTTAATATGACATTGAGCATCAAAAAATATGAAATGAGCTACCAATGAAACTACCACAAACTTTGCATTTGTCATGTTGAATCTTGCAAGCACTTATTCTACAAACTTAGTTTGATCTAATCAAAGTTTTCTTGTCTTGATATTTTTTTTGATATCCATGCCAATAATCATCTTAGCTTTGCCTAAATTCATCATCCAAAACTCATCACTCAATTGAACTTTGAGCTTATCAATATCAGATTGATATTTAGCAAGAGTAATCATATCATTCACATACAAAACTAGCATGATATATCAAAGATGAAATTATCAATATGTTTCTTTTAAACACATGGATTGTAGATGCTAAGTGCAAATCAAAAAGCTATCATAAATTCATCAAATTTTTTATTTAATTGTCAATCAAATTGCCTCAATTCATAAAAGTATTCTAGCAATATACAAATCCATATCTTTCCTTTCTTAGCAAAGCCTTAAGATTGTCTCATGAAGATTATTCTCTTCCATGCTTTATAACAAAAAACATTAATAACTATCATTAGATCTAATATAAGACAAAACATTGCTACAAGTGCACAAATCAGCCAAATTGTAGAAACGTTAGTTATTAGAAAAAACATTTCATTATAATCCACATTTATTTCTTGTGTATAATTCTTGGATACTAGTCTTGCTTTATGAAATTTCTTAATTTACTCTTTGGTATCATCTTTTAGCTTGTACATACACTTTTGATAGAGAATATATTGATCTTCAAGTAGTTCTCAAGTCTGGTTGTCTTCAAGTGATATCATCTCTTTCTTCATAACGATATTCCACTCAAATTTGGTCTCACAAGCTCAAGCTTCATTATACAAAGAAGTACCGACTTCTTCTATGATCAAAGCATCATCATCTTTTTGCTCTCCAAAAATATCAATATCTCTAAGAAAAGAAAAATTGGTCTATGTTTCAAACCTTTGAGTAGCTCTACTAGATCTATTTGAAGATCTTTTAGTAGTTATCTCAGGTTGATCTTGATCTTCTGTTACTATAGTCACAGATTCATGAAGCTTCAGCTAAAACTTGGTGTGATTATACAAACTGACTCAACATACTCAAAATGTTTTTCAACATTAACTTATTGAGTCGTTCAACAATGGCATTTTGCTCTAGAATATAAATTCTTATGAGATGAACAATTAATTTCTCTTCTTAACAATACCTTTGAAATTTTTTTAAAAAATTTCACCGCCATCATCTAATCTTATATATTTCACTTTTACATTTAAGATTTACTTTTTTTCCATTCTAAGTCTGCACTTGTGCTCTTCAATTCTTAAATGATGCAAAGATATCAATTTTTTTTGAAAACGTAGACACATGTAATCTTGTGTTATTATCTATAAAAGATACATAATACTATTTGGCAAAAAGTGAGTCAATAAGAGAAAGATCTCACTCATCACTATGTATATACTCCAAAAAAAATTTGAAAATATAAATTTCAACACCAAAAAACTTTTTCTTATGTTTTCCATGATACAAATTTCATAAAAATCACGATCACATTTGCTGATTAGAGATCATCAAATATTTTAGATTTACAATCTTGTTTTATGTGGACTTCCTTGTCACAACTCTAAAATGTAATGGTATGCTTATCTTAAGACCTGACTTTAGATTTGAATTTATGTTTACATCCACCTCCTTAGTCATCATCTCTATTCTCTTAATATTATGACCGTCCATGAATCACACGCAATGTTGTTCTCAAGTAATTAGCTAGTAAAACATATGTCATTAACTTGTTTTACAAACAATCAATGAATAAATCACTGATCATCTCATTGTAGCGGATAAACTTCTTATCAACGTGAATTAACATTCGTGTAACTGACTGAAACAATGATGGAAGTGAATTCAATAAATGTAAAGTTTTGCGTTCATAATTCAGATTTTCTCCAAGATTAACCAAATTCACATCAAGATCATTAGAAAAATCAATAATTTTAATATTTAATATATAAATTTTTTATCTTGAAATTCATCAATTTCAAAAATGCAAGCAAACAATTTAAAATCTCCTTTTGATTATATTGCTTAGAGGTTTTTAGTGCCTATTTGACTTGTTATTTTGTTCTACAACACATAATCATTTACTTTATAAAACTTTGAAATGTCAAACTTGCATATTTCATGCTTATTTTGGTTCTCTTGTAGGGCATTGGACATTGTCGATTGTTGATGTCAGTTTTCACCTAATTGTCAGTTGTTAACACCAACGTTCACGTTCTACATAAAAGTTGCAAAATATTTGATAGTTATTTTTGACATACTGGTCATCTTACATATCTAAAGAGTGTAATATATGTTCTTTGAGGTGTCAACAATACTTTCAAGGATGTAAACCCAAAAAATTGCTCAATGGCGACCGTAAAATGCTTCAAATTAATTTCGAGATGCAATTTCTTGTAAAACTTCTTTTTTGTTCAACAAAATTCAACAATTTTGATATCAAATTGAAACTTTTTTGTACTCTTTGAAATGAACTCCACTTCATTTTCTAATGATGAGTATTTGCAAAAAATATGATATTTTGCATTAATCAACATATCATCCACCTTGAATTTTGAAAAATATTGATCATTTGTAAATTTTTTTGCCTCAATTCAACTTGTAGTCTAACAAATACCAAATCAAAGAAATCTTTGAATTCTTTGATTTGGATATGATCTTTTCAACGTAATGCAGCTCATGTTCTGAAGTAAAATGATCAAGACAGCACACACAAAATTGAAGATTCTTGATCTAAAAGCCATAACATGTTTTTTTCTCAACCTACATCAAATTCAAAACCTCAAATATCAATAATTTTTTAATTTTGATTAACTTTTTCTTCTAATCTTTAGTGCTATAGTAAATTGAAGTTTAATCTTGTGTTTGATCCAAAATTAGACAATGTAATTTTATTTATATGTCACTTAAATATTGATTATAAACAATTTCTTTACAAATTAAGATGTAAAATTGAATTAAAATATACATTTCAAGTTGGATGCATAAGGTGAAATTTTACATTATAGAATGTTTAGCTCAATGCAGAATAAAATCTGACTACTTAATAGTAGCAAAAGTAAGGAAGTAGATTATGTGATTGTGAAACATATCACGATGAATAAAATTAACATATGAAATTTATGAAAGTAATGCATAATATTGTGAATTTTTATTATGATAATCAAAATGTTTTATGATTAACTATGAATGGTAAAATAAGACATATCAAAATCAAGTATTTTTTTATTCAAGAAGATGCTATATGATATAATTATACTAATGAATATTAACAGTAAATTCAATCATAATGATATATTTAACATGATATCTAATATTTATTGGACCACTTTTTTATATTTCCATTTTTATTATATAAAATTTGTAAAGATATAAATTTCATAAATTAATTACAATTTTTTAATGTTGTATATGATTTTACTTTATATAATTTTTGCAACAATTTAGATCTAGTTAAATCTTGTTTTCATATGGATCTAGGTTAGCTTTTACTCTATAACTTTTTGCAGAATTATCATATTGATTTTTGAAGATAAAATTATCGTGATTTGAGCAAAAGAAAAATTACGAAGAGTTGAGCTACAGATAATTTGATTTTGTTCAGTTCAACCAATCAATCTTTTATCACATTTAATAACTTGTCATAATTTTCATTGATACTATTTATAATCCCAGTAAATGATATTATGCGTTCTATAAACGTAGCTTCACCAAAGATAACCTTAAGTCGTTTGAGTTGAAACCTTGGAAATTCGTATTATCATGAATGTTGACATTGATCAGTAGTTCAAAGAGTTGGATTTAATCTTTTGTAAAGGCAATGATGATTCCTCTAAATATATAATTGAAATAATGTTTCTCTTTTCAAGCATATAACCGTAAAAAGCATTCCCATTCTTTTGCAATATTCCTTGGCCCCGTTTTGCCATACAATTCTTGAATCATCTCTTGCTACTACAATAACAAACAACACTCAAGTAAATTTAGTAAATTGACACTATTTGCGGGTGGACTATCCCAGGTGTTACAGTAGCGCATTTTCATGAGTCCAAATGGTAGATAATGCGAGTTTACTTGCGCGACTGTTGAAGAGGACTAAAAGGACCTCCCGCGCAAGTATTGAAGTAAAAGGCCTAACAGCTTGTCTCTTTCCCAGCAGAATACAAACACTTTAGATAGTGAGCTACCAGCAAATTTAGTAAGGCTGTTCGATGTCCAAAGATCCAGACAACTGAAAGTCCAAACGGTTTGCTTGAGCCAGGGTCTCCAAGTAAATTAGTTTGCTTTCGCAACTGGCACCGAAAGTGGAGCTGGGTTGTGGCTGGTAATCTGGACTGGATATACGTAAGTTTTCAAGCGACAGGTGTTCGATCAGCATGATGTTGGGGCAAAACATCATAGATATGTGAAAAGTGAGAGCTATCTGCCAGTGAGGTAGAGGGAAAGCAGAAATGCAAATCGTCAGTCCGCCTGAGCCTAAGTGCTTCATGTCGTTGATTTTGCAGATCGGTGGTAAATAAGTGAAGGCTATTCTTATTATCTGGACAGACTTGACTTTGGCACAGTACCTTGTAGTAGTTGAAGTTACAGAGACCAAGAATTGTTACTGAGACGCGCCAGGGGTCCTGTCGGGAAAGGGATGGGGCCCATAGTTTGAAGTGTATATCGATGTGAAGGGTATCAATATGCTGGAATTTGGCCTCCTGTCGACAGAACGCAGTATGGGGCGATTTCCTTTTGATAGCTGATGTTTTCTCGCAGTTGGAACGACGAGAACTGCCCATGTTCATTTGACAGGTTGTGCAATGGAACGATAGATTGTATTGGGAGCTGAGCCCTCCTTCTAAGTCTGCGGTGTAGCGCGTCTATCGTGCCTGTCAAACGATGATGCAGTAACTGTGTTGAAGGACTTGTAAATGCGCCTGGATTTCATGTTTTCAGTCTTGACGGAAATTGGGAGGAAGAGATCCCCCGTTCATTCCCATCATCCTTCTCGACAGAAACAATTGTGAGCATCTCAAGAAAGTCTTCCGTTATGGCTGGCTGGAAAAAGGAGGAAGAGATCTCAAGCAGACCATGACTTTGAGTACTTTATCTGGTTCTCAGCTCCATGTGTAGAACAGTAGTGCAAACCTTGTGACTGCTCTGTCTTTGACCTGCTGGAATGTACTGTGATCTGTAGACGATCTAGAAATGTCCGTTTACTCGCTTTAATGATACTAGTGCATCATCGAAGCAAGAGATGCTGGAAATGTGTATTAAGATTTGTAAGGAATGTCAACTTCGAAAGGGGTAAAGTCGTGTTCATGTTTAACTGAATTGGACTTAGTAACAGTTTGGACCTTGTTGAATTGATTGCAGGTGCAGGCGTCTCTGGGCCGAGAGTGCTGGAAGTGCTTGACATCCAATGAAGAAGTGAGTCAATCTTACGAGTTAGCGCAAGGGGGCCACAGCATTGGTCATCATGGGTTTTCGTTTAGCTCCAATCTTCTTCGTTCTTTCTCTCATTCTTTTTGTGCAGATCGTGCCACTCTGTGCCGTAGACCCACCTGCCTGTCCACTTCCCCTCACTCCACTCGAGGTTTCCCCCACCTATACCTACAACTACTCTTCACCTGCCTTCCAATCGCTGTTCGAACAGCTAAACAGCACCATCCAACAATTTACCAGCACTCATGGCATGAATTCATACGCAGTCGCTTTGGTACATGGAAACCGAACCATCTATACCAACGGCCTGACCTCTACCAAATTTCGCATTGCTTCTATCACCAAAACCATTACAGCTCTTGGGGCTTTAATCCTTCGAGACCGAAGGCAGCTTTCACTCGACGACCCTGTCAGAACTCACCTCCCTGATTTTTCTATCATCAACCCTTATGACGATCACGAGATTACAATCCGGGAGCTTATGGGGCATGCAGCTGGCCTTCCGCGAGAGCTCTGCAATTTAGTTTATATTCAGTGCAAGGGCAACGAAACAGACATACTCAAGCAGGTGGCTGGGATGAGGTTGATTCGACCCCCATGGAGCAGCGAGCCTGCATACTCGAACTTAGGGATCGCTTTACTTGGCCATACTTGGGAGAAGGCAACCTCGCCGAGAAAGACGTGGGAGGAGTTTGTAACAGAGGATATTTTGAAGCCTCTAGGAATGGACAGCACTGGAATTGATCTTGATGGTGTCGAGCTAGCTCCTAGCTCCAATCCAAATGCCCGAGTTGATCTTCTTTGGGTAAGACCAGCAGCACAGATGTGAGTATCCCCGTTCCATCTGTACACATGAATGATCCAAGTGTCCAGCATGTAGAGTGAGGAACTCCTTTCTTAGATTATCTTGTAGGTAAATAGAAGTAAGTTGTCGTGGTTGCGGACAAGTCTCTGCATTTTTTCCAGTATAAGAGAACTACTGTAGAATCAGTTTACTCTTTACCCAGAATAAGGCTAGTAGAAGGTTTTCCTGCTCCAGAAGGTTGACACGATCCCTGAGTATAAGAATACGCTCATCGACTCGAGCGATGAATGGGCTGAAGGAGAGGAACGATCTAAACTACTTGACTGAAGCCACCCACGTGTAGTCACCTGGCGAACCTGGAAATTTCCTCTAGGAATCCCAGCCGCTTTTGCTAGCGCTAATTGCGTTTCTCACAGGTGCTTTTCAGTTGCACACAACATGAACAAGTACGAACATTACATCAAGCTTTTAAAGCTCGAAGCAATGTTCGTCAGTTTTTATTGAGGCAGTTTGTTGTCAGTAAAGTTATTTTGGCTGTCTTTGACAATTGCAGGTACTCAACAGTCGAGGATCTTGGAAGATACCTACAGTTTCTGATTACCGGTCAGCCAGCACTCATTTCAGAGAGTTCAATACGAGAGTGGATAAGCCCAGCTACTGTATTTAACGATGGAAAGGCAGGTTATGCCTTTCCCTGGGAGCTTCGAAAGCTTCCAGACTTCACAGAGATGGTGGTGTCTAAGTCAGGTGACATTTACTCATATCGCTCACACATTGCTTTCGACCCACCCAATCAAGTGGGTGTCGCTGTTTTAACTGTTTTTGAGCCGGGTACCACATCTAGTTCTGATGCCTTTGCTGATACCGTCTTCATGCCTCTGGTCAAAACGGTTCAAAATGTAAATGCTGAGTTCATTTCAAGTTTTTATGCCGGACTATATACATGTACGTATCAAAAATACACCTACAGTCCAACACTCGACTTCAAGACACAAGTCTTATGGGGCACCGTGAACGTGTCCGTGGATCCCAGTCTTGGGATCTTGGCTGATGCCAAAATAGCTATCATGAATGACAAGGTTCCAGTTGGAGTGAACAGTACTTGGTCACTTTTGCTGAAAAATGCGACAGAACACACGTTTTGGTTTGGGGAGGCACCCAACTGCGGTGCCTTTGCCGGACAGATTGGTGCAGGTCCAGATTTGGCACGTCCCAACATGGTGGGCACCCTTTACACAAACATGCTCATGTTTGATCCGAGAAGAGGATCTCTTGAGTGGCCTGCTGTAGGTGGAAAATGTTACAAACCTGGATTTTCTTCAGGTCACACTGTAGGGGTTACCAGCTCTTCTCTCACAGCGACTCTTCTCGTGCTCTTCCTACTGTACCTAGCGTAATTCTAGCTCGAATGAGAAGGCTCTGACGCATTCACTTCTGGATATATCATCGAGAACCACCTTCCTCAAACCTGTGGGATCAGTCTTAAATATTTGCAGGATAGATGCCTTCGTCGATACAGAGGATATTAGCTACGACGGAGTTCCTACAATGTGACAGGACTCGGGAGTGATAAGGAAGGACAGTTTTTCAAGGGCTGTTGATATGTACCATAATTCAAGAAGCGTTCTACAGAAGCTGACCCGTCTCTTCGTGCTTTTAGAGCTCACATGAAAGTGATGCTCTTAATTTATCTGTTGCCCGAGTTGATTAATCTTGAGACGTTGTGCGTGATGGGAAAAAAATTGGAAATATTTTTGGTAGTAGCATGCGCTATCTCGGGCACATTTCGTCGTCATGCTATGCCCCCTACGGTCGCGACATGACTTGTGTAGGGACCGTCGGGCAGGCTCCATGAATACGAGTGCATGTGACGATCATATTTCTCAAGCAGCAGCCCAAATGTCAAGCGGATACTGTGGTCTCTCTGTTGACAGTGTTCCTCGGCACGTTGAAGGTCTTCTATTCGAAGTATTTGGCATCTTCTACAAGGTCTCAGCATAGAACTTGTCGACTATGCTGACCTCGTAAGTAGAACACTCGTTTCACGGTCGAACGAATTTGGCGAGATTCCGAACAAGAAATTTCATCTACACATCGCCGAGCTGATCCGGTCGTGGAGTATTCGTGCTGACCATAACTAGTCATCGTACTGATTTTAAAGCCTGCGTACTGGTTGCATGAATACAAAAAACTTTGTATATCCCCACCATCCAATTCTTGAAGTATGAGACCCTTGACGGTTGGCTAAAATCCCGGGCAAGGCCCGATTCTGAACCACTCATCCAGAAGGATTTATCAGAGCGAAGTAAGAGAGCAGTGAATGTTTTTCAACAGGTAAAGCACGTAGTATCATCTCTCAAACGAATATGATTTACAACCAGCAGTACGGAAATACTACTGATGTAAACGCACTGAACCAGGTTCCGAGTAGGGAAGTGGAGCGGAGCGTTAGGAGAGTTCCAAGTACGATTACGACAAAGGTTTTGTTTGAGTTCCGTCATTACATGTCTGGAAGTTATACCGCCCAAGATGTACATAATAAAATGCCAATCGAAGGCATGTCATTTGCCCAGTTTCATAGCAAAGCGCGCGCAATGACGGACATAAACCAAGTCATGTGCAAGAAAGAGCCGTTACAGAGGTTAAAACATAGAGTTCGAGTATCAGAACTCAACGAATCAGGTGTATTGGGTCTACTGATGATAACAAGGCAGACAGCAGCACGAAATTCTGGGGACCACGTCGCGACAGCTTCATAGTGTGCGAAGTTGGAAAGCAGCCTTTTCTGTTGTGTCTAGACACGAGGTTGTACTGTGCGAGCTAGTGAAGTACGCATTCATACAGCTGTAGAACCTTTATTTACGAGCAAAAAGCCGGGAAATTTGTTAGGCAGTGTAGGGTAATCTCAAGCTTCGCATTTACAATTGAAGTACTTGAACTTCTCTGGTCTAATCCTGATCACTTTTGCAACTGATGTGGTTGTCGGCTACATCTGTCCAATCGGCTACTGCTTTGCTTCCGTACAGGATCGTGCTTCGTCTGCAGCTCAGTCCTCCATTCCCGGTGTTCCTTTCGGAGGAACCGCTGAGAACGAACGGGCAATTAGGGCTAGATTACCATTGCTGCTACAGGAAATGTTGAAGAACCTGCTATATTCTCGATTTGAACTAGAGTATGAGAGTTCCGATGTGAAAGCAGTTGGACATGTGCCCACCTCGCCCTCTCCCTTGAGCTCCTTAGTTGTTCGAGCATTGCTGCCATTGATGGAAAACCAGTACGCCCCAGTCTTGAAGGGTTGTAACGGAGAGGGAACACTGATGACTGGGAAACCCTGGAAGTAGAAACAGGTTGAGGCCTGAAACAGCTTAGATCAATTGCTCGCGTTGTTGTTTGCATCGCAGGAGAAGAATTTCTCAGTTGTTTTGAAGGCGAGGAGATATGATCACTCCAAAAGTAGTTACCATTGTCCTGTGGGTTGCTCTTTCAGTCTTCACACTTCAAACAGCGCGGCTTGCATCGGCGCAGGAATGCCCATTCGTGCTCACGCCAGGAGCTGTGCTGCCAAATTACACGTATGACTATAAATCGGCTCCATTCGTTGCTTTATACGGTCGGCTTGACAAGATAGTCGCAGAATTTACTGCAAACAACTCTCTCGTCAATTACGCTGTTGCTGTAGTTCACAGAAATCAAACAATCTACAGCTCTGGTCAGACTTCCACTCCATTCCGAGTCGCGTCTATCACGAAAACAATAACGTCTCTGGGAGCTTTGATGCTGCGTGATCAAGGACTGCTCAAACTCGACGACCCCGTCAATAAATATCTTCCTGGGTTCTCTATCATCAATCCATGGGGAGAACACAACACGACGATTCGAGAGCTCATGGCACACACTGCCGGCATCCCCCTAACGTTGTGTCCTTTTCTCCATACTTGCACAGATGTCGAATCGGAGATTCTGCAGCAGATATCGGGTATGGAGCTGGTTCGACCTCCTTGGAGCCGCGAACCCGTCTACTCCAACTTGGGTATTTCTATCCTTGGCCACACTTGGGAGAAGGCTACAAGTCCTTCCATGACATGGGCGGAGTTCGTACAGGAGAAGATTTTGAAGCCACTGGATATGACTGCGTCAGGGGTGAATCTCAATAACGTTGTTTTGGCTGACAACGCGAACCCTTTTGCAAGGCAGGACCTTGGGTGGAGCGCACCAGCAGCACAAATGTGAGTAATCATTCGTGAAGATTCTCCGTTCTCATATCTAGCATTGTCTGGTGTCGGGTGGGCCGAGTCTGAGCCAGCAGATGAAAACTATACGAGAATTGGACTCTTGGTTGATTCTTCTTGCTCATATCTTGAGTTTAAAGACGTTCGTAGCCTTCCTTTCGCTGGGTCAGTTTGTGAGTTGATGATGCGTTGCAATCTCTTACCACGTTTTCCCTAGATTTCCTGAATGAGCTTTGCAGTTAGAGCATCAGTCTTCTAGACTGTGGTCAGCAACTGATGCTCATGCGAAAGGTCCTGAGGTATTTTCTGTAGAAATTGTGTAGACTTGAGTCTACACAATGGGGACTTGTGAAGTCCCCATTGTCCATCCAATCAGCACATCCAAGATTCTTCCTCTCTATTCTTCATTGTATCGATCTAAAATACTCTTTATTTCTTTCAGGTACTCTACTGTGGACGACCTTGCCAAGTATCTGGTGTTCTTATTGAATGGTAAACCTGGATTGATATCCAAGTCATCTATACGAGAGTGGATTCGGCCCACTAAAACTTTTGCAGACGGGAAGGCAGCTTACGGAATGCCATGGGAGCTGCGCAAGCTGGAGAATCAAACTGACTTCATAATTGCCAAAGCCGGCGACATAAACGGTTACAGAACACAGCTCGCCATCTACCCTCCCAGTGAGCTTGGGATTGCTGTGACAACTGTATACACCCTGCCGTTTTTACCAGGCCCTGAGAGACTAGCTGATGATTTTTTCAACCTCCTCATTCCAGGATTGCAAGAAATAAATCAGCAAGTTCTAACAGACACCTATGCAGGTGTCTATAATTGTGTGCGCACCTTGCCCATCAAAAGTCCGACTCGGAATGTTACCGTCCAAGTTCTAGGTGGCACGATCACCGTGGAAGTGAACGCCACGTTTGGCCTTCTGGCCACCTTGGAGGTTCCGTTGATTAACGACGGTGTTCGGTCTGTAGCTGGCGGTGTTCTGTCTTTACTCCTCAAAGATGCAACCAGAAATTCCTTTTTCTTCGGCAGTGGGCCGTGCATATGGTTCGTTGGTGGCATCAGTGCCACTCCAGACCTCACCTCTCCGAATTCTCCTGACAGCGTCTACAACGAAGAATTCATATTTGATCTGCAAACGAAGTCGATCTCCTGGCCTGCTGTGGGTGCACAATGTACAATATCGGCTTGAACAGTGATCCACCGAAATGCATTGTCTCTCCTGTGAAGCCTTTCCAGTTTAGGATTTGGGCCTAAAGAACTCGTGAGTTCTACTGATACCAACTGTTCTGTTCTCAGCAGTTGTGGGGCCGAGGGGTGTTTATGATAGATGAAAGTCGGCTGTTTCGTCTGCATTTTTGTAGAACTTAATGAAAGACAAATCCCGTGCAAGGAAGCAAATGACATCCATCCCTCGTACATTTACATGAAAGAGGGGTCATTTGCACTAGTATGGTTTGAAAAAACAGGGTAGTGATTGAAGCCCTTTAGTTTGTAGTCAGTTTGTTATATAGGCATGCCGGTATAGATCTTGGTCACGGAGAAGTTCACATAATATGTGAGTGGTGGAGAATGTATTTTTTCAGATCGAGCCAATTACCACAAATACGTATGTCTTTGAGACCCGATACAACCACTGAGACTAAGTAATCGTGACTGGTATCTATCCACCCGATAAAAGCTAAGTTTTAAGAGTTTTCATCCTTGCGATATCCATTTTTTAGAGCTTTTCTCCGCCCATCATTCGCAGTCTTCTCGTGTTTCACTGCAGTATTCTCCTTTACGATGAAGGGCCTCACTCAAGAGCATGCTTTAATCTTGAGAGAGATGGATTCAGATTAGGCCTGATGTCCTGGAGGTGGTTTAGCATATGGTAATTAATGCCGACAGGCTCTCATTAAAACCTAAAATATCACCAAGCTTTGATGTAGGACCTACTACTACTATGGTCTGCATTCCACAGTGAATGTCTGCAATGTCGATGCAAAATGAAGAAAGTTGAATGTGTTAAATGAAGAATGTCTGCAATGTGAAGAAAGTTTCCAAAATTTGGCATGATTGCAAACCTAGAGTAACAAATAAATCAATTCTCTACACAACTTTACATTTGAGGGTCTTTATAAGCAAATCAAAAGTTATGATTAGGCTTGTTGTTACTACGTTTTCCACCAATCCACGAAGATCACTAAGACCCCATTACACTATATGCGACAGTATACTCTTATGATTTGAAAATTCTATACTTGAACCAAGTATAACATAAATCTAGCTTGATGCAGAACAAGTCGCGAGACATCCACACTCTATATGCAAGGCATGCTTTTCAATGGATAGAACAAAGCCTACACACATTTGCTTTGCTTACGCCACGGTTGATCATCTACAGAATCCCAAGACCCATATTTTTATTTACAATGATCCAATATTCATAAAATAGAACAATTTATGTACCACAATTGGTTTTGCGAGAACACTGGGTGCACAAATCGTGTCGTGTAGGGGAGGAATTTGTGAAGTTGATCTCTCATCCCTCGCTTAGTTGCACAAACTGCCGCACTGTCAGATGTCAGGGATTCCATGTTTCTTTCTCGTCTCTCTCTTCCTCACTTCATGCTCCCTTTGGGCAGTACCCACTCCAGCAGTGGGCCTAGCCTCTCCATCAGTTTTTATCTCAATTATGGTGGCTTTTTCGCGGCCGACCCGACTTTTCAACAATTCGACATAATCTCCGTAGTCGATCGTGATGGCAACGCACACATTCAATGCAAAATATATTCCAAATTTAATATATGTAATCCAAACATATACAACATATTGTAATTTTAGACAAAAAAATTTGAAAATTCACATTCCGTATAATTGGATCACATCGATATTCTCGTGCTCCTTGATGTTTCGAAGTTGCTTTTGCGTATTTGTGCCAGTGTTGTAAAGAGCTCATGCCAGAATCTACTTTTTTGTCATTTCAGATGCCCATTGTTGCTTGCAGTTCTATTTGCATGCTTTTTGCGAGTGTGATGTCAGCATGGAACATGTGATTGTGCAGTACCCACTGTGAGATGGCACTTTCAACTCTTTTTACTTCGATAGGTCCAATCAGATGACCTACATCAAAAGTTGGAGGCTTAAGGATTTCGTTTGGAGAGAGTCATATTGTTATAGTGATGTCAAGATAGAGTTTGTGACACGCTGTTCATACAAGGGTGCATGGGTTAGGCTGAGTTGGGAGTCGTACACAATGTGCTATTGCAAGTATGGTACTCCAAAAAGAAACAAGAAGAGTATGTTTAGCTCAAATTTCATTCAAGATACATCAACAAAGATAAAGTTCGGTCCATGCATCAGGGATAGATTAGACCATGATTTTCACCACAAGGGTTGTCACTACAAGTTTAGTGTCATTAAATTGCTGCCCAATGATCACATTCCACCAAGGACCACGAAGTTGCTATTCAAGCATAGTAGTCAGGTAAATGTTGCAGGTGTAGCTTGTCATGGCATGGCATGTTCGGATAGTGTTGGCTTGCCATCTCAGATGACGTACAATTTATCTCTCAAGTGCAGGTAATGACATATTTGTAATATTTTTAATTCTTATGGTATTATTACAGTTTAAGTATTGTTGGTCCACCATCTAAAATCGTACATAGTTTATCGTCCGTTATATTACAAATATGTACAATAAATTTGTTGTTATTACAGATTGTAAAACTTTGACGCTAAGTTAGCATGTATTCGCTAATATTTTCTATTCTTTTCCCATGGAGTGGATCGAATGCGAATTAAGAATAGATTTAACTACTCCGCAAATTTTCATGCGTGCTACAAAAGCACTATTTGAAAATCAGCACAGCTTAGATTATGTGCGAGGTATCTCTATTAGAGATCATTATATCACACTTGCTGATGTGTATAATATCAAATTGGAACTCGACAAAGAAACTTGAAGAATACATATAAATGATGGAATTAATTCAGAATTATCGATGAAAGCGAATCCATCTCAAGTTGTTTTGTATCAAGCACCAAAAAGTGATTAATTTAAATCATTGAGGCTTGCTGTTACAAGATATTTGCTCTGGAATGGTTGCTAAAACATGGAAATGGATGATGTCTTGCTATAGATGGAACGCATGGCACACAAAAGTATAATGTGATATTATACTTGTTTATTTTGATGTTCTTATCATCATGTTTCCATGATTATGTATATTATACCTCGCTATTTCCAAAATCTGCAAGTACTTGTAGAAATGACAATTTGGAGTTTTAACCTGTCTAGTAAGACATTATTGAACTTCTAGATGTGTATATTATATATTGTTTTATACATCTTGATAATTTTAGATTACCATTACATAAAAAAAATTCATTCATTTTTATCAAATTTAGCGTAATATCAATCAAATCAACATTTCGTAGATGGCTATTAGCAACAAGTTGTAACATATTTTCAAAACTCAAAAATTATAATTGAGAAACTTTTCTGATATGTTTATTTTTATTGTGTGATGCAATATCCACTGTATACTCTTACGGTGTTGGATAAATACAAACTCAGACATCATATCTAAATTTTCATTCCCAAAAACAATAGGATACCCGTGTTTGTATTTGTCCAACACAGTAAGGGTGTACGTGGCTATTGCATCACAAAAAGAAAATAAACGTATCAGGTGCAAAAAAATTTATAATTATCTAAATTATAATTTTTATATTTTAAAAAGATGTTATAATTTGTTGCTAACAATCATCTACAAAATGTTCATTTGATTAATATTATGTTAAATTAGATAAAAATGAATGATTTATTTTTTTTTATGTACTAATCAAAATGTATGAAACAACATATACAATGCACATTTAGAAATTCAATAACATCTTACTAGACTGGTTAAATTTCCAAACCACTAATGGAAAGACTGGGCGTCGTAGTCGGAGCTGACCGAAGGGAGCATGAAGTGAAGAAAGAAACTTGGAATACCAGTAAAGCAGTTTGTGCAACTAAGCGAGGGGTATGATTCCGTGGACTGTGGTCGCACCAAGAGTAGAGCTTCGTTTTCTTGAATAAAGTCGGTCATTACGTATGGAGCTAACTTTATTTTGCTTGATTGTAAGGCTCTAAATTGTAGATACATATGTCACATTCATCTCCGAGGATACATTAAAAAAACAAAACACAAAAGGGACTTGAATACCCCATCAAGATGTAACAAAACCGTTAACATGGGCTAAACCCGAAAGTTGCAACACTTCGTTATTTCATAAAAAATACATTATTTTGCGACTGTAAAGCTTACCCTAATGGACAGAGGCCAGGATAAAATGGGTATTTGTATAAATACGGATGCAAAAAGGACCTCATATAGTGATGAACAAACAACTCGACTTGTAATGGCCAAAATTGAAACGATGAATGTATCACAATATAAAATTTACAATCCTGGTTTTTTAACTATCCAAAAGGACCCCACGATGATGCAAGCGTTCAAAAAAATCCCACAGTTCCAATATCGATTCCGCTCGCGACATTATGAAAACTGGAAACAACAAGATGAAATGCACAGCATTATCAGTTTCATTTTCATCATATATCCTCTTGCCGCGACTTCAACTCCACTACCTAAGGTGTACCCCCCAGAAACTAGCTTGGAGGGCATATGTACAAATGTTCCAAAATAGTATCCTTCCAGCGATATCTCCACAAATATCTCACGCAAAAGCAAGATGCACTAAACATGCGTTCCTGAACACAGCTCCTTCCCACACAGCAGCCTAATCCTCCAATTCTACAGAGACTGGACATTATGTAAATTAAAGTGAAAATAATTTGCTTGAGCATAGAGTTTTAAAGAGAACACAAGCTTCAATGCGCGTTTCACCAAATCTTGGTTAAGTATGAGAGAACGACCAGATCCAGAGGAGTACAATCCCTGTAACGCTGATTCAGAACATTGAGAATCCGGGATAGACTTTCACATGGTTATGAACTCACAATTCCAAGACGAGTTTACAAAGCCGCTCCAAGTTGTCAAAAACAGCTTGATCGACGAAAGCTCAAGAATCCATTACTCTTCGACGAGGCCCAAAGACTAGGGATCTCATCTGCGAAAGCAACCCAAAATCAACTCCTGTGTAGGAGAACAGCGACTGACATGAGTTCAGAGACACTACCGTCGGCTACAAATCAGTGTAGTTGACAACCTTATAATTGCTCTACTTTCCTGCAATCCGAAGATAAGATTGATGCGCTGTACCAAATCTCGATCAGGCTCACCACTCCATATGGGATACACTGATCTATGTGAAATTCGAAGTGGTTCTAAGCCTTACTAAATTGTCCTACATATCACTGTTTGGCAAGGTAATGAGGCTGCAACAAAGATATTCTTGTGGGCATCTCACCTCTAATCACCAACAATCAACCGCAGAAATCTGGCTTGATAATCAGCCTTTCATAGTTTCAGGCACAAAATATAAGGATGAGACGGGCGTGCAGGCAAGTTTGGCCAATGACGTTTCATGCCCTTTTTGTACGTGAGCCTTTCAAGCAGACTTTTCGCATGGTGCACAGGCCGCTCCCTCAGCTTCATTATGATCTGCTACCCTGTAATGCGAATGCTGGAACTAGACGACCATAAACGGGTTCAGACCAGGCTGGAAGTTAAACGCGTTCCATATACTCCCAAATAACTCGCACACATCTTCGTCAGAACCAAGAGCAGCCGGTAACAAACCCCATTCCTCATTCTGCACATTGTACGTCAGCACTGGACTACTTGCTCGCCCACCAAAATAGATCTGGGTGCCGTCCGAAATGGGGTGATTGGAAACTGCATGATCAACCGTTTCTGGTGGACCACGAGCGACCTCTGCCAATTTTCCACTACTGGATACGAACTTGGTCACCAGGATGCTCTGCTTGGGTGTAATAAAACCATCCGAGTCACCACGCAGAGCAAGAATCTCCTCTATGGGAGGGGAGGCCCGGGACATCACTGCCAACACATCGCCCCCACAAATCACCAAACTTACTGAAGCAGAAGGAGCATCCAGATAAAATGACAAGCTGTGTCTGGAAAATGTACTATCCTTCACATTAAACGCCAGTATCACAATCTGTTGAGATCTCGAGCTGTTTGTTGTGACCAAGTAGAGAGTTCCATCGAGGTACCGACTGGGAGGACTAAGGCAGACAGAATCGTCGGTGGTGAGATTAGTACAGGTCCAAGTATCAAGTCTTGAGTTGTAAATCTGAGCGTCGTAGGTATACTGATTAGGTCCTGGATTTTGAGATTCCGAGAACAAGATCACCTGGTACGAATTATGATCAAGGAATAAATGTTTAGTGAGCCCCTGACTCATGTTAGGTCGTCTTGGTAGCAGCTTCCAGCTCCTGGTCAGCACATTAGTTACATACAGGTTGCATTCCGAATTGCCAGCCTCCGGAATAACGTACCCACAAAGAAGACATCCCTCGACTTTCACCTGCAGCCTGCTGAAATTCTCGGGGAGGTAAGACAACAATTTCATCTTCCTCCAACGCCTCAAATCTCTGTCATACGCTATGAATCTGTCCCCATTCAAAAGCGCCGGGCAATAGCTAAGCCATTTACTCAAACAACTGATTACTTGTCCCTGGAAGGAGGATGCACAGGCATTGCCGTCGACAACAGGGGCTACTTTGGAGCACCAAGCTTTAGAGAGGACGCGAGCCTTGAAGAGGGATGGAAACGGCATCATCGAGATTATCTTCTCCACTAGTTCATCGGGGAAAATTCTCACTCTCATGTCCATCTTGCTGTCCATCTTGAAATTCTCACTCCCCGGTATCCAAATTAATGTAGATAGTAAGACATAAACATGGACGGCTGCACAACGACCCTCATCATTCCCTTGTGACTGATCAACGCCACAAGAATCACATTTATCGATGTAAAGACATGTGCAAAGTTCTGTCTCCGCCGGGACAATTCACCATGAACTTCTTGATTCCAGCCGTCCTTCAAATCCGATTCAGTGTGCAGACTCGACTGCCGCCGTAAGCATGCTGCCGGTGTTGCTTGCCGACCATACCAATCCACACATCGTCATCCTCCGTTCGGCTTCGCACACAGGGCCAACTTGCATGCAAACATCCCACAACTTGACTTCTGCATTGTGGGCAGTCAGGCTCTCACGGGTGCACAATCCTGGAGGTACAGGGCTCCGGAAACTGCAGTACAGATATAACCATTACATTCGGATGTCTGCAGCTTGTCCTTTTGTGACCTGCCCATGAACAATAACGATTGTTTGCAGTTAAGACCGTCAAGATATGACTCTCTTTTGACGGTACTCCGACAACGTCCAAGATCTCATCGGTCCTCAATTGCTATTGACACTGACTTCAGTATCATACTGAGAGAAAACACTATAGCTCATCATACCATTCTACAATGTTATCAATACTTAAATTAGTCTCTTGTAGAGATTTTTGTTTGTCAACATGTATCCTTTACTAAAAAAATAACATTTGTTGGTTTGATGCAAAATAAAACAATCGTTTAAGGTTTTGTGATTTAGCCTCATTTAGAATGTTTGAACTAGATCCTTGCCAATATATTAGACTGAGTATGACATATCTCTCCCTGTTATACTAGCAGAGTGCATATATGAACTAGCCAGATCTGAGTGGGGTACTCCCATCCTGTTTGCTATGTATTTGTTACTTCTTCGGTTCTCAATTGCTTTGGAGGAATTTAAAGTAAATGAAGTTAGCCTGCCCACTCTTCTCACATTTCCAACATGACATTTGGCATCTTTCAAAAGTAGTCATTTGTCTTGACTCTCTCTCCTAAACGAGTATGCAATTTCATTCACGTCCTATCAGAAACTCATCTATCATACACACCTGCTGCAATTCCACCCGCACCCACCAATTTGTCACACACCACTCATATTGGTCATATATGGGTCAATGCCTACGTTGTTTGACCCCCTTTCGCAATCCAAGGTAGTTCTTAACACATAGCCATATATGACATAGGCCATGTATTAGGGTTATTTCACCAACATAAAGCTACCTACAAAGACAGAGAACTGTAGATATGCATATAGGGCTACAGTAGAGAACGGGGAAAAGAAACAAAAGCTATTGATAATCAGCCAGTGAGCGGAGAAGACAGGGAAAAGAGAAAGGAGAGGAAGAGAAACAGGAACTATCTTGACATGATGCTGGTGAAAAACAGTTACAGTGGAGGCAATAGACCGGTGTACTGGTGAGGCTGGTGGAAGATTGTGAATGCTGCATATCATCGGGCAATTGGCACTTGCGGTGATCCTTGAGGTTATTCTCAGATTTCAGAAAGGACATATTGAGGCCTAGCCCATCGTTTACGTTCCGTTTCTCCGCTGTACAGATGGGGTCTTCCCATCCTTATTTTAATCTGCTTGGCCTTTACTGGGCATTACATTCAAATTCTTAGCCTGGATATGGGGAAATGTGTTACGGGAGTAGTTTTGTTTGTAACCAAGCCATTGTGTTGTGCCAAGTGATTGGAGGAGAGATAGAAAGTTACATATCCACCACTTCTGGGAGCCTACACATGGGCTGCTGAGGCCAACATCCCCAGCTGATCTCTTCCGAAAATGACCTCCTTACCGTCACGCACCAAAATTAACCACGTGCCCACACCTCTAGTTTCTCTTTGTGGGCTGCAGTCGCTCTTCTGGAGAACGACTATCCTCGAGCCGCTGTTGTTAGCTCTTAAGTCTAAGTAAGCTCCCTGCCATTAACAGCCTCCAGGGCTGTGGATTGGCTCTCAACGGAGGACATCACATGGGCTCAGCCGAGGTTCACGGTAGCTAACAGACGACTCCATGCTGCTCAATCCGTCATCTCCAACCATAAATCACCAAAGTGCTGAACTAGTACCAGCTATATCGTTTTGGAAAGGCTTTATTTTGTTTGTCCAGCCATCACTCCGTGCTCCAACCAAATTTGGAAGATGCGCAGACGCACGGGAGACCAACAGAAACTAATCTTCCAAAAGACGGAGAATCTTTCATTTCTCGTCGAATCATTCCTTTCCTGGTTCCTCCGATCCTTGTCTCCTTGGGAAGTTTGTACCCCAGTACCACTTCCGTTCCTCTACGTTCTGGGGAATGACCTCTTGTTTCTAAAAGCAACCCCTGGTCCCACCACCCCTAAAAGCAATAGCAGCATATATTTGTATGGGCATGTTTCTGCAGATAATGTCAAAGCTAAACTTTACTTCTGTGCAAATTATGTGCTCAGAATCTAGTGATGTGATCATATCTTGCCTTGAGCAAGATCAACGTCTTTTTCGTTCTCCTGTTGCGTCATTCCCTCGGTTCTAAATACCTTTTGAATACTATTAATGGATGTATCCAAAGATTTTAGCTAATTTTATCGTATTAACAAGGTTCACTTTGAGGATTTTATTTATATATATATATATATATATATATGTTGACCATGACTCTTGGTATCCATTCTACTGGTTAGCGCAATGAGCAAACTCGCCACACCAACCATTTTTAATAAATTTGAGTGTTCATGTGGGCGTAGTCTACAAGAGAATCACGTTTGTTTTTGGCATTTCTCTTGTGTGAAGTTTATTCTCATGATTTAGTACAGAGTTAAACCTCCCAATAGTGTCACCTCTTATGAGTGACATACTCTCATTAGTGACGTAGAATCCGAGAACCATTAGTTTCTAAAGTGTAAATCTGCTCAAGAATAACGGTACGTCACTATTCCTAATAGTGACATGATACTATACAATAGTGACAATTTCAAATGTAATTTCAAAAATAAAAATTTCTATCATTATCACAATACATAGTTATGAGACTACAAAAATGTGGCATAAATATATTTAAAGGTATATCTCAACAATTCACACTTTCTGGATTTAACTAAGGGTTTAGGTTTTAACCCTAGACCCATAATTTGCTACATATATTATCATTGATTGTTTCACTCAGATGTGTGTGTATTAATCTAAATTTAAATGTAATTATAATGTCCATGTTGACCATACAGATGTGGAAATGAAGGCCATTTTGAAACCAAACAACAAATTTATAGAATGTCTTAGGGTTGATGCAATGCACGATAAGAAATCTATGAAATTTTAATTTTTTTAATTGACAACTCCCAATAGTGACATCTAACCCCAACACCTTGTATGTTACTATTAGAAGGTTAAATTAAAATTATGCACTTTCCAACAATGACATTTAATGTTAACACCAATGTATGTTACTATTATGAGGTTATACGCACTTTACTCTGGTGAGTGACACCTTGCAATAGTGACGTAAAACCCAAGTACCAATATATGTCACTATTGGAAGGTTTAACTATATGAGAACGAATGATGCTATGCTCTATGAGATTTTGCCATTGAACGTGATCTCGAAGGTGCCGAGGAGACGTTATTTGTTTGTATTCTTGCTCTTCTAGTTCATGTTGTTAAGTTTTTTATTTATTTGTATTGGGAGCTTAATTAATCACGTATTTATCAATCTTTCCCTCAACAATATCCATGAATGGAAATTTTTACTTGTAATACATTGAAATTGAAAAAAATTTCATTCTTTCAATGATGTAGCTCATTGAAAGAAACTTTACTACTAACGATAATTTTAAAGTCTATTGGATCCTTCAACCTACAACTCTTCATACCACTAGCATACCCAAAAAAACAACACTTTTTGAATGTAGTATCCGACTTGGTTTTATTCTCTTATTGATATGAGAGTATAAACAATGCAATCAAATAATTATAAATATGCATTTCTTTGTGCCTCAATTCAAACGGTTCATAAAAAATAATTGCAATAAAAGAAGAAATGTCTATTAAATGCACTACGGTATTAACAGCTTCAACTCATACTTTATATGGGTTTACTAAATTGGCTCAACATACTAAGCAACTTCTTCATCAGTTTTCTATTTAATCTCTCGAAAATAACCTATAGATTGAGATTAGCTAATAAGTAATTTCCTCCTCTTGGCGAAAACTTCTTAGAAGTGTACTTATCGCCATAATCTATGTGTAAATATCTCACTTTGTGTCTTGTCTCCATCTGAACTTCAGCTTTTCAACTTTTGAAAATGTAAATATCCCATATTTGTATGTGAGTATATAAACTCACATAACTCTTGAGCAATCATCAATAAAAAATACAAACTAAAATTTCTCAAAGATTTAGACTTGAGAAGTATATTCTCACATATTATTATATACATACTCAAGCAATTTCTTGGATTTATAAACATTAAAGATTTTTCTATGATTTTTATTAATTGTATAAAATTTGCAAAACTCTAAGTCAATTTTACCAATATGTAACAAATTCCTCTCATCTAAAAGAGATAGATTTCTATTATTCATGTTTTTTAGCCTAGAATGCCACACATAAAACATCTCAGTTGAACATCTAGTAAAATTAACTTTTTCACAGATGATAGTAATTTCTAGCAAAGATAAATTGTTATGTTTATGAACTCTACATAAACTCTAAAATAATCTTATCACGTACTCTAATCTCAAACACTCCTTTTTTAAAAGGTACACTCAAGGCTCTTTGAGTTTAATATTCAAAAAGATATCAAATTTTTTTTCATAACAAGTATAAACCTAACTTGAATCAATATAAATAAGAGTTCATCAACCATGAGTATCTTAATACTCTACATTCAACACACTCAATACTACAAAATTAATCAATTCTCGTAAGAATTGAACCGTTTGATATTGAAATAATACAAAAAATTCTTTAACGTATTAGATTTAATAAAAATAAACACTATCTATGATCCATACATCATCAACAACCATTGAAGAATAAAATTGAGTATACTTTTGACATCATTTTTCATCTTCCAACAAGTCATACTCCTTAGGGTCAAACTATTGAGCCACATCTGTTAGAGGAAGATCATCACTTTTGGTCTTCACATAGTAGTACTTCTTGACATAATCATTATTGGCACGTCTCCACCGTATTACCATCTTATTCTCTATAAACTTACCCCTAGACTTGAATCTATCTTTGGATTGAAAGTGGTTTTTCTCCTTGTCATGTGGTGATTATGACCAACCTCGAGTCACATATAGTGCCCTACCTTGATGAAACAACATATTGAGATGACAACATCATTTTCAACTGTAAATCATCATTCAACATAGCACCTACAACCTCATTGTAATTAATAATTTGCCCATCACTATTGTACGGCTTGAAGAAAATATTACTTCAAAAAGCACTTAAATAGTTATTAATTGTCATTCAAAGTAAATCATTCCGATTTGGTCTCCCCAAAGATTTATAGTTTTCTTCCTTCTAGACAATAAGCTATTTTATACAATGTGCTTCCTCTACTTTTAGATTTTTCACTAGTTTGTCAATTTTTTGAATGATTAGTCTCTAGATCTAAACCCGTACAATTTTCCACCATTGTTTATTCTAAC